TCGAGATAGATACAAGGTTTGAGGTATAATGTTCTTTCATTTAAACTGTGAAAAATATGGGATCGGTTTAATCTCATATTTTTCTAAACTTAAATATATATGTAAATCAAATGTCCTTCCGAAACGGACGATGAGATTACGATTCTGGCGGCCGACAACTTCTAACGAACAACTCCTTAACTAAAAATAGTGTCGACAACATATCACACTAAAAAATTATTAGGATAGATGTGAAGCTCTCTTAGAATATTACTCTTTCCTCTGTCTCATGTTTCCCAATTGGACCGCAATTTGATTTTAATCAGTAAAATTACACGTGATATGAAATGTATAAATAAATTCCTTGCATACTCTTGTGAATACAATGTCGAAAATATATCTCTCAAAACACACAACCGATCTCATCTTCATATACCCCTCAAATTTAAGTTTGTTGACTCTATGACTGTCCAAAACAAGTTATGTTATGATATTTTTGTTTGGGTCATCCTAATTTCATTTATATTGCTAATTTGTATCTAGATTTGTTTATCAATAAAAAAACTTGATTTTTACCAATGTGGTATTTGCCAACGTGCAAAACACACTAAAAATAATTATCATATGATTCAGTATAAAGCCCACATCTTTTTTCCACTATCCACGATAATATTTGAAGACAATCAAAGGTGGAAACCCTAAGCGATGTTAAATGATTTGTCTCATTTATTGATTAACATACTAGAACTACTTTGGTATTCTTAATGAAGGAAAAATCTGAAACAACCAAAAACAAAATCATTTATCGACTATCATACAAGAACTTTTCATGACATGATTCAAATACAATTTCAATGCAAAATTCAAATGCCCAAAACCGATAATTTAAATGAATATTTGGAATGTCTAATCGGATACTTCAAAACACCACTTAGTGTTTTGATAATTACCTATCAACACATCAGAACTTTCTATCCCACAATGCTGCTTAAAATTTTTGGATGCGCATCTTTTGTTCGCATGTATTCCCCAGTCTGAACCAAACTTGTTCATAAATCTATTAACTGTATTTTTTTGGTTGTCTCCAACAAAAAAAACTGTATTAAATATTACTCTCTCATTACCAAAAAATACGGCAACTCTATGAACGTCACATTTTTTGAAAAGTAAATATAGCATCCCAAATTTGATGTTCAGCAGAGAAATACAAATGACCATAAATTTTGGGCTGCAATTGATCACACCTACACATCAAACCCACATACTCCTCCAACACTTTTGCCTAATTCTCGTACTCCTGTTGAGTACATTACACCAACCCAATCTAAAGTTCACAAAAAAAGAACTTCATGTGTACACTAGGAGAACTAAAAATCTTGAGCATGTCAAAGACAACATACAAAGATAAAACTGATTGAACCCAAAAACCGAATCCACATTTAGCTAAAATTTTGAGTAAAAAGTCTAGTACCCAGAAGTTATCTCCTTCCTCTTCTGGTGTTGAAGAAGAGGAAAGAGGTATTAGATACCCAATTCAGGAGTATATAACTTATAAAAAGCAATCCTCATCATAAATTTAATTGAATAAGAAATATGAGGGCGGGTCATAGTGGCAATTTATTTTTCCCACTAACTTCCTACATCGTACAAGATCATTAAAAGGCTCTCCTTCATTAATTAGTTGATTAGTAAGCATTGAAATATTTCATGTTTTGACCCATAATCTTCCATTCAGTAAGATAGAAAGAAACGCTTCTTGCTTCTTGATAAATAAATCCACAAGAAGTATTTCAAAAAAATCAGATCCTTATTGTTAAACTGATTTCGCATAAATAACTATAGTAATAATATTCGTGGCACATCGCTTCAGTAGTAAAAATGTCATAAACATACACCACCAATAGAAATGATCTCAGAAGCAAATTGTTGTATCAGTGTAATCATTTTTTTCCTTTTTACATCTCGGAATCGTTTACTACTTGGCTAAATTTTCCAAACCGTAGCCAAAATCTTAGCTTCAATCCATATAATGACTTCTAACGATGACACATTTTCTAAATCATAGCCAAAATCTTAATTTACAAGTTTTATTTCCAATTAAGACATCCATTTCATCAAGCAACACTGCCCACAAAACACAATGAGATGGGGCTTGCTGAACAGATTTCGAGACCTCAACAGAGTCGAGAGAAGCAATAAACATGAAAGAAGTAGAAGAGTGAAGTACATAAGAGAAAATCGAATATGTGCCTAGAAGGAGGATCCACTGACGAAGATAATACTAGTGCAAGACTAGGATCAAGAGAACGAGGTATATAAAGTAAAGCATTAGTAATTGGTGGTCTGGGCCGAGCCACAGGTGGAGGTGGAGCTGAAAGAAGATTTGAACTGATGATGTGACACATTAACTCATCAAAATCTTGAGAAGATTTATGCATTGATGAGTCACCCAAAAATGGGGTCTCTTCATGAAAGATGACATCAGTAGAAACCATGATCATGTTTAGGAGAGGGGAAAATATTCATACAATTTTTGCAAAAAGATGTATCCTAGAAAGACACCTTAAACACTTAGGGTATAGTTTAGAAATATGTGGATAAGTATCACGAAGAAAACAAGTAAACCAAATAAAATAAAGCCAATTCATATGAGAAAAATTATCCATAAAAGTGACAATGTCAAAATCCATTAAATAAAACAGAACAAAGTCCCATGCATGCATTAATGCTTACCTCTTCAAAGAGAAATAAGTACAACAAGGCCACTAGGAGGATGATCCACTGACGAAGATGATACTAGTTCAGGACTAGGATCAAGAGAACGAGATGTATAGAGTAAGTATTAGTGATGGGTGGTCTGAGCCGAGCCATTGGAGGTGGAGCTAAAACAGGATTTGAATTGATGAAGTGATGCATTGACTCATCAGAATCTTGGGAAGATTTTTGCACTGATGAGTCACCGAAAAACGGGGTCTTTTCATGAAAGAAAACAGCAGTGGAAACCATAATCATGTTTAGGATAAGGGAAAAATATTGATACCTTTTTTGCAAATAAAAGAATCCTACAAAGAAATTTTTAAAACTTAAGGTCTAGTTTAGAAAAATGTGGATGAGTATCACGAACAAAATAAGTAAACACAGATAAAGTAAAGCTAAGTTATATGAGAAGAATTATACACAAAAGTGATAATATTGAAATCCATTAGATAAAACAGAACAAGGTCCTATACATCAGAATGAACTAGCTTAAATTATGACTATTTTTTATTAATTCTGAGAACAAATGAGAAATAATCGTATTTAATAAATTGACACAACTCAAAATCTAAAGATGATAATCGTATTTATAAATTAACAGAGATAAAGTGGTAGAATAGGCTATGGGTTGAGGTAGTTCATTATCCACCCCCTAATTCTCATCCTTTACGAAGAAAAAGAAGAAGCAATTAAAAGAATGTGTAATCTTACTAACATAAATCAGATTAAAAGAGAATTACAATGAACTAAGGACATATGTTAAAGGTAATGCAACCGAAATATAAATGGTGTCAAACCAAGAACATTAGAGGTAGATTCATCAGTTAAATATGTTTATGAAAGATGGAAAAAAGTTTTAGATTACAAGTCATGTGATCCGTGGCACAAAAATCAATGACCCATTGTGTGGAAGAGGGAAAAAAAAGTACGCTCGTTATATGACACGACAAGGTTCATGTACTTATGTGATGAACTAGGTCAATTTGAAAACTCATAATAGTCATTTGTTCATTTTGAGTCTGCTTCAATCCAACATCGTGACATAAGAGCAATAGTGCATTTAATTCTTCATAAACAAGTTTAAAGTGAATGTGACATTTATAAATGATTGATCCCATTCTTCAGCTTGGCAGAACAACTATCATACATGAAAGATTCCATAAATTTTCTCCCATAAAAATACAACGCATTTTTAACACAATCACGAGTAGTACGACCAGATTGATCAAGTTCAATAAAGTTTCGTATTTGTATCAACAGTTGAGCATCGATGCTCATCCACACATAATAGTTAGAATCAATATGGACTGAAGGATTATCAAAGAGTCGACTCTCCTGAGAAATACTTCTTAAGTAGTGTCTCGTAGCTTTATTCCAATAAAAATAATTGATCTCATTTAACTTTTTCATTTGTAATTTTAACCACTGACAGAACCAAACTTGTCACAACATGTTTTTTTTTGTTCCACAACCATAATTATCACCAAATATTCAAAGAGACTGAATCGGAACAGAAGGACAAGCTGAAGGGCGAGACGAGCACTTGACGAACGATTCAATGATAACCGAAGACAAACAAAAACAAAAGCTAATGAAGCCAAATGAAGTAGTTGAATGAAGTAGCATATGAAGTCGACTAAAGCAGATTAAGTCGGCCAAGCATACACCAATCAGGATGAAGATGAAGCAAAACAAAGCAAACGATGCTTACAGGATGAAGACCAAGCAAATAGTTACGATTAACCACAAACAAGGTGGATGAAAACAAGTGACGTCGAAGTCGAATGATGTAGATGAAATCGAACAACAAACTATGCCCTAATCCCGTCATAGGATGAAGGAGAAGCAGGCAGAGCTGAATGAAGGACGAAGTCGTGCATGTCTATGAGAACACGAGAAGAAAAACTGCCTTTTTTTTTTTTTCTTTTATTCACCAATTGAAAACATGTTACATATTTATATACACTCCAATCTCTATAGATTATGAATATCACTAATAGAGGAAAGATCCTGAAATTAGATATCCTCTAATAACATTACAAATTTATTAGATTTACTATATCATGCTTCGCATTATACAACCATCAAATTTATTACTTTCCATAACAAATGTAAATAAGTACTAAAGTCATTACTATCTAAAAGGAATAGGATCATCTCTATGTGCAGATAATAATTTCATGACATGTCATCTCTGACTCACAAACTAGAGATGTAAACTCGAACTATACAAATAAAGAACAAGGGATCAGGATATATATTACCTTATCAATGAAGACGCAACCAGTTGAACTTAGCTGGATGGAAGCTTCAATTTTCAGCATCTCCTGCTTCCTGTAGCAATGATGAGAGCATAATTGATGTGCCATGGCCTTTATGGACTTCTTGTTGCAAAAAAGCCTGGAATAGTTTCTGAAGAAATAAGTACCGAGCGGGATAGCATCATTCATTATGTCAATTAACACATCCTGGTCAATAGAATCATATGCTTTCGCTACATCAGCAACAACGATGTACATCTTAGAAGAAAATGATGATCCCTTTCTGACACTATGAATAAAGTGGTATAGACTTTGGTACATGTCGTTATAATCAAACACAGAAGCTCCTAATTTATCTGGATCATCAGCCTTTATAATTTGGAGAACTACAAAAAGCTCTCGGAGAGCAGAATTAGCAGACTTAAACCAAATAAATCTGCCTTGCTGTTTCAATGCCTTCACATTAACTATAGAATTTTTCTTTCCTGCAAACAGAAACTTTGACGGGGCTCTGAGATTCGCTAAAGGCCTTACATTCTTCTCTTTTGGGAGAAACCTAACCCTTGAAAATCCAAATGCGCTTCTCCCTAAGCTGATTCTCCTTTCATTTAACACTTTATCCAAAGATGCATGATCCAAAACACCGTAATTTGTATCTTTTAATCGACTGACTGTGCTCTTAAACAATTTGTTCCAAGTGGATTTTGGATAATAAAAAACATCAAGCTTTCTGGTCTCTCTTTCTGTAACATAAAAGTTGTTTCCTAGCAAGGGTACCACAACATGTGAAAAATACCAATATATCCAGGACCTGAATATCTTGTTTTGCAGGGACCATTGTGCATCACATAGTACTTTACAAAGCTTCTTCCTCTTCCCATAAGTTTTATCATTTTTCCATAATCCACCACAAGGGCAATCAGTGAAGGAAATTTTTAATAGAAATGGGTAGTGGGACGATTTTAGCTTGTACATGCATTGCTTCAACGAAAACCTTTCAAATCTGCGCAGCTTGACAAATTTTGAAATATTTTTCCTCAAGGCTCTCCATGTGACATAATCGCCAAGTAAATCATTGGGGACTAAGCTTCTGGTTACCGCCCAAACAAATGAGACTACTTGTTTATGCGAACAATAAGAATCAATTAAATCACGCTGCAAGCACATTTAATTAAGCATTTACGATCAAAAATATTTATTAAACCACAGTTTCATTTGAAAGAATGATGTGCCAATACTTCAGCTGAATGGATGTTACTAAGAAAATCTCAAGGTACGCATCATATTCTACATAATATAGAATTTTATCATGAATATTGATGAAAATTAATATAAGAAAAACCAACCATGAAAGCAAAATAAATGACAAAATCATGACCACAGTCAGTGAAAAACCTTTTTTCCTGCATCAAATTTAATATTTGGCAATACGAAAATTGATACTTCTGCATACATCATAGTTACTTCAAATTGCAAACCACATTAGTATTATCAATATTATGAATTTATCGCAGCCACATATATCAAGAGTTGATAAAATTTCAAGAAACAAACGAACTTGAGTTTCAAAATTTAGGAGGGGAAAGCAGTGTTAAAAAATCACTTTGTAGTTACGAGAATCCCAGAAACCATAAAAACCGTGACTTTAGTAGGAAGAGACTAATCATACATTGATAGAAACTAATCTTTGATTGATAGAAAGCTGTTCTTTCACAAAAAAATAAAAGTAGATAAATATCAATCTGAATAAGTAATTCTGCAGGCAAAAGCAGAGTACAAACATGCTTAAATAAAATATCTAAAAACTCAAACCTCTATTTCAGATCCATTAGAAATTGCTTTGTTTTTATCAAAAACTGGCTTCAGGCAATGTCTCCAAAGCAACTTTTTGTATTGGCACCGCTGGCTATTCCGTATGAGAACCCTGAACAAGCCTATTAATGAATGAATCCTGGGGAAAAACAAAATAAAAAAAAAATAGAAAAGATGATTACTAGCATTAAGAAAAAAAGCATTTTAACAAAATAATAATTAATAAGTACTACAATGACTTGAATCTAAAATAAACACCAGTTGTAATTGTCACAATGTCTTATTACAATATGAAGGTAAATACCTCTGAACTAACCTATACGTCTCCGTAATTTCTAATTTTTATTAGTTCTCCCGGAGAACATATCCTAGATCGCCAATCATAATTTCTAGCAGCCCTAAAGCCTTCATTTTGGGTGACATTCCCTATGATCTGTAAGATTCTAAACCTGTTATTAGTGCATATGATCACCATCACATCCTATAGTAAGATCATGAATGCCAATCAAATGTTATCAATAAATTTGACCGAATAACTGAGACATCTTCCAAAGTTTTCTTATAGCACCCATCAATTCAAGTTTCTCACACGAGTCAACGTGTCGGTGATCATGATTTCTAGCGGCCCTAAAGCCATCATTTTGGGTGGCATTCCCTATGATTTGTAAGATTTTAATCCTGTTATTAGTGCATACGATCATCACCACATCCTATACTAAGATCATGTACTAATGTTATCAATAAAGTCGACGGAATAACTCAGACATCTTCCAATGTGTTCTCAGAGCACCCATCAACTCAAGTTTCTCACATACGGACTTGTCACTGAAAAATTGGTCTAACAAATTTCCACCGGATTCAGGTTAAAACAGATCTTCGTTTATGGGCTAAAACTCTTTGCTAAATTGTTCAGCAATTCCAGTCAAATTTACAAACTCCCTGCTTAGTTCTGCAAGGTTCATGATGATTAAAAAAATGTTGAATGATAAAAAAGAAAAAATTGCTCAAAAAGATCTCTCATGTACATTCATAACATGAGCTTATATAGGGTATTACAAAGTTTTACAAATAAAACCATAAACTTCTTCAATATTTCCTTTTTACCAATAGGACCCTAAAAAAGGTCCAATTCTCAATACACCCTTTCGAGATGAGCAAAAGATATCCATTAAGCCAATCTTGTCACATGACCTAAACAGATCTAATGAACTAAGCCATTTCGTGACGCAATCAACCACTTGCTCTCCAGCAGCTACATGACTTAGCACCAGCAGCCCGCTATTCAGCTTTTCCTCGAGGAATGATCTATCAATCTCCAAATGATTGTTTCTACCTTATGAAAGCGTAGATGTGAAGGCAAATTGCAGCCTAGCAGAACCAAAGGAGAGAAAATAGAATTTCCAAAAGCAGTAAACGTGGAGACAGCGGCAAGAAAGCAAAAAACAAAAAAAAAAAAAAAAAAAAAAAAAAAACCACAGCCGAAACACAATTTCGCAAGCAAGAAAGTGAAAAATCTACAGCCAGTTAAAAGAATCAGCATCATTAATAATAGAAACACAAATTGAACTGTTGGTATGTAGTTCTGCCGATCTCCAGTTGCAGCGGCTAGCAGAAATAAAGGTAAAAAAGTGAAACAAAGGGAAACCATGACCTGTTGTCCCAGCTGGCTGTGGGAGGCAATCACATTGGGAACGAGAGAAAAAAGTTTCAAGTGAACCGAACGTTTCAATTCTCCCTACGAATGTGCTTTGTGGAGAGTAGGGCTGCCAAAAATGCTCGTTGTTCACGAACAGTTCGTGTTTGGCTCGCCGAGGAGTTCGTGTTCGATTCGTTCGAATTCATTTGATAAACAAAAGAAACAAACACAAACAATTTTTTTCATTCGGTTTATAAACGAACCAAAAAACAAACAATCATTTGTTCGATCGTGTTCGAATCACTATTGTTCCAAATAGAAAATAATGTAAAATAATTATATATAAAACATTTATCATATTTTAAAAATAATAATATACACAAAAAAATTATCATATTTAAAAAAAATTGAATCCTATAAATTATAATCTGATCTTCAAGTTCGCTTCTTAACTTATACTAAATTCTAAAATTTCGTATCTATCTTCAGGTTCGTCTCTTAGCTTAAATTTTTATATATTTCTTTTAAATTTATTTAATTTCTTTGAGTAAAACTTAGTTTTGGGAGTGAAATCTCGCATTATGATTTTTTTGTGAGTTGTGTTTCGGCTATTTTGCATTTGTGTTGTAATACATACAAGTTTAAGCATTAATTTCATAAGGTTTAAGTTTTTAAAAGGTTTCAAACAATTCGAACAAATTTGTAAGATTTCAAACAATTCAAACATTTCAAACATATTTCAAACAAATCAAACCAAGCACGAACAGTAACTTCACGAACAATTTCAAAACACACGTAATTTCAAATGAACCAAACACGAACACGAGCTATGTTTGTTCGTGTTCGGTTCGTTTACAACCCTAGTGGAGAGCGGGCTAAAATTTTTTTGGATAATGATCACTACTCATATGAGTGAAATCTACAATTCAAGAAATAAATATCTAAAAGAATTAGGCTCTATTTGGGACAGCTACAGCTTAATAATAAGTTGTTAGCAGCGCAACAGCTACAACAGGAAGTTGTCGCGCAGAAGCTTATACGGATTAGCTGACTGTCTGTTTATTTTTCGCAGTTTGAAAACAGTTGTGCTGCAGTTATTTCTAAACAAATGATCGTTATGCCCATATATAGTACCGTTGTTTGCAACAGAACTGTTTATATCATTACATTTTATACTTTAAAAGCAAAAATTTAGCGCAAAAAATTACAAAATAAAGATAAACATCTCATTTATTAGTGAACAACATGATTATTAAAATTAACAAAAAAAATCTTAAAACAATTAATGATATGATAATATTATTTTTAAAATGCAGACGGCGTATGTCACGAGCTAAGTCGTCCTCCAGGGATAATCTTCATGCCCGATCACTCTTAATGATGGAATCCTCCAGTCTATCTGCCCACTGAAAACAATCACAGTTTTACATGATTCTTCACGAGCACCTATAAAATTGTCTCTCGCAACTGTAAGGAACTTTGAATTCTACAATAGTTGTGCAATCCTGATACCAGAAATTCTCGAGCTCATCTTTCCAGAATGCTCAAAAGCATCTCATTAGACATAGCACAAGTAAAAATTCATAACATGAGTAATTAATTATAATTTTATGCAATTGTGAGGTCTCAAAGAACTCAATATATAAACCAACGAATCTGTCACTACAAGAAAACAACATACCTTATAAAAAAAAGGTTCTTGAGATTGTCCTTAACCCACATAATACTAAGCTCGTGTGTATCACTAAAAAAAAACCATCTGAAATAACCTCAAAAATTGTAACACCGAAGAAAAGAGAGGAAGTTGATTTTCTTCATTAGAATTTCAAATGTGACACAAACCAATAGCAACATACAGGCTATCCAGAAGAACTCATAAGATCAAACGCCTCATCAGAGAACTCCAAAGCCCATTGAAAAAAATAAAAGAAATGCAGAAGGAAAAAAGACATACAAATTGCATAAAAAACCAAAATAATCAATTTCAATTGACAAGGAACGAAAATAAACATAAAATGTATATACACATGGAGATGTCCCACAATAATTTAATTAAAAATAAATGTCTCTCAAATGTCATCGCTCCCATTAAAAAAATGTAGGTAAGCCGCTCTAAGGTCAACGAGCATCACCATGAAAAAATTTATCTGAGTCAAATCTTCAAGCAACTTCATAGAGTACAAATACAACAATATGTCCTAAAAAATTTCTAGAGTTGCATCCAGAATTCGCATAACATGCTAGACAAATGTTGCTTGTGATGGGTCGGAGTCATTGGTGCATGAAGCCACCAACTGTAAGATCTGACGTCTAAGGAAAGCAACTCCCTCCTTTTTTTTCAACCGGATGATGGTTTGACCGGTTAGTGGAAACTTCATGGAGGTTTGGGCTTGGGGCCTTCAATGGAATCACATGTTTAGTCAGTTCCTAAATTTCAAGGGATGTCACTAAACCCTGCCTCATTGGAAGCACATGCATTGTTGTCCATTGTGATGACACCTCTAAATATACGATCCAACTCCTTCACCTAATTAAGATCGATTCCACTATATTTTTTTTTCAGCATGCACCACCTAAAAAGTCATATAACAAGTGGGATTTAAAAACAAATTAAAAATTCACAAAAACAATGGACATTTTAAAGATCCTCACAGCCAGTCTCGATGTCCATCACTCCTCAGAAGGCATCAATCGTTTGTTTAACGGATCTCACCCCAAGTCCGTTGATCCTCGCTTCAATTTCTTTCAAATTTTAAAATCATTTGTTAGTTGATCTCACTTATTTTTTAAATGCATCCTATTACACTGTTTATCCTTTCCTTAAATATCCTAATAATTATTCGCCCGCCTTCCTTGTTGAATTAGATTGTCAACCCATTTCTATCACAAGCACAACCACAAACCAACAATGCACCAATCACCACCTCCACACATTCACCAACACATCCTCTAACACAAACACAATCACACACCAACCACCACCTCGCTCGGCAACACCACCACCTTCACACATCCACCAACACATCCTCTAACACAAACAAAACCACATACCAACCACCACTCCCACAATACCATCACGAACACATCCACTAATATAAACATAACCATACACCAAACAACACCTCTACATACAAACTAACGTACACCACCCCCAAACATCAAAGGTAAAGATAAAGGCTCATTCCATATTTTTTATTTTTCGGATACCACGTACAAGGGCACCCGAAGCATTGCTATCAACAAATCAAGCACTCGCTTTCAGCCATTTCTCAAACTCTCACTCAAAGTTCAAAGATAAATATAAAGTGTCACTCCATATTTCTATTTTTAGGATACCACATATAGAGAACCCGAAACATTGCTAACAACAAATCAAGCACCCCCGTTCAGTCATTTCCCAAACTCTCACACAAACATCAAATGTAAAGATAAAGTCTCATTCCATATTTTTCAAATTTTGAATACCACACACACGACACCCGAAAAATTTCTAGCAATAAATC